GTCGATTGCCACTCGATGCATACTTTCAGTATACATATGCACATACACGCGTAGCTTCATTGTACTATTGCACTATTCAAGGCATACATTACAACATCATCGTTAATCGCTCGTGGTTTTATTATTTGTTTTATCGGGAGTATCATACATCTGCAATTGTTTTTCTCTACGCTGTTGTAAAGTGGAGCAATATGTCGTTTGCCTTCGTAACATAATGTGCCAAGTTAATTTTTAAAAATATCGTTTGCACCCTTTGACCTTGTCGCGGTTCGCAGTAAACTATTGGTTTGATCACAATTTTTGCGAATTATTTTCGCAACATGACATCGCGCTCGCACATCCACGCGGCATCGATGACTTATTCCAATGTGCCGTACGATTGCATTCATTCCACTATTATGATTATAATTTTGATTATTGGGGTTATTATTATTTTATAACCCGCGAGATAAATGCTAAGCACGAGTAGCTCCCGCTCGTCGCCCACTATATTAGTTCATGGAAAAATCTAGATAAAATTTCCGCGTGCTGACGAGTGTCTCTGAAAAAAAATAGTCAAACGCGAGTGCAAAATCAAATAGCCACTGTTTAATAAGTGCTCTATCTATTTTTTATCTCTGTCATTCTATATCAACAATAACCCGTTCTCTCCTCCTCCTCGGTAAAGCCGGCAATCAAAATCGCGTCGCGCTGCCTATTAATGAATCACATTTTTCCCTCCTTCTTCCAGACCACGAAAGAGCATCTCGTGTTTACAATGTCTAAAGTAATCTGTATGTGGGGCGGTGAGAATTGCGAAACATTTCCCCGAAAAATGTCCGACACAATGGCACAAAATAAAGCGTAAAAAATGAGTTATGAAGCGATCGGGGCGCATTCCATGGAGCAAGAGGTGATGGGAGCATCGAAATATTCGAATGGCTTATACCGATAAGAGAGGTCGCCGGAGCGACTGACTGCTCGGGCGCTCAGGAAAATTTGCAGGTATGACAGGGATTTTCGCAAGGCCGCGTTGTCGAACGGGTCGAACCCTGGCCTTTTACGGAGCAGCGGCAACGGCGTCTTGCACAATAAATTTGCGCTTGTGGTCATTCGGCATCGATTGCAAAACCCCCGCAGGCACCTCCTGTGCCCCCCACCCACCCCGTCACAGCCGTCGCTGCCGCTGTCGCCGTTCTCTTATCGTTCTGAATTCAGCAGCCTCGCAACGCTTATCGGACCTTAATTATCCTCTCCTTGGATCGCGATTTCAATTGCGCGGTCGTAATTTACGGGCGACGTTTGCTGAGCTGAGTGATTTATTTGAGTGCCTTAAAGCTGCAAGAGCGCAAATACTTCTTCTCGCCGCTTCGATTTTCCATCCACTCTGACATCGTCAGCCTCGTCTTCCTTCCATGCCCGCGCGCCCAAGCCAACGTAAGCTGTCGGTATAAACTAGCCAACAAAGCTTATGCTTGGCACAAACGCTTATCAGCGTCGTACAAGTGACGAGTGTTTCTTTATTCTTTTTTCTCTTTTTAAGGCCATCATAACGATTCAATGCGTAATTCTATATGCAAAGAAAAGGCCAAAAGCTGGACTCATCCGGCGATTCTTAATCACGAGCGCGAAGCGGGACAGAACGAAATATTGCATAGCCATGGAAGGAAGGAAGAGGAAGAAACGGGTAGCACTTTTTTGTTGGCCGGCCTTCTTACTTAGCTGACGCAAACTTTTTCGCAACGCAAGTAAATAAGTGTGCAATGTGTCGCGCCAGCGAAATTTCAAGGGGCGACTCGGCCCCCTCTCAACATGGCGCCGACGCTCTCTTCTCTCTCAGTTTATGTTTTTCAGTGCCACGGCGCGCCTCTGCCGCTTTTTTCTTTTCTTTTTTTTTTTTATTCTTCGCGGTGAAACGAAACGGACCGCGAGCCCTCGCTGAATCAGCCAGCCGTGAGTCACCGGGAACGTGGGTCACGTCGAGTGCACCGGCGACGAGAATTGAGACGATATTCGCTCTTCGCCCTGAGATAACAGCTGTGCTTTTTTCAATTGCGACCTGGTGTCCCTGTCTTCGTGATCTCTAAATCTCCGGATTCAAAAACCGATTAAATGATAAACATTTTTTGACACATTTGAGCTCAATGTCACTGTACATTAGATATTAATTAGATTTCGTTCCCATTGGCATTATCGACCTCTACGAATGCGGTTCGTCGTTTTATCAGCCATATTTCATAGAAATTTCAGGTTCTTTATAATAAACTATGATTAGAATACGCATTTGCTTCTATATTAAAACTAACTGAAACACACTGAAACTAAAGCCCGACGAGTAAACATATTTAAGGATTAAAAAAATCGCGCTTGATTGCAATTTTTGCACATATTTATAACATTTTTTAGCCATTATTTAATATAATATTTTAACGATAGATTTCTGCTCTTTAAGAGCCACGAAACGCACAATTAACCTTCCTGTCATTTCATAATATATGTAATATAATAAAGTAGTTATATTTATCGATCGTTATATTTTTATTTTTTTCACGAGTATCGTATTTCATTCGTTATATCTAACGAATATCAAATTTAACTTTTAATTTAACTTCCCAGAGAAACTTTATAAGTAACTATTATTTATAATTAATGAAGCAGAATTTCAAATAATTTTTATTTCTATAGATGGGTAGAAATCACTAATATAAATTATCTGAGATTTGCAACTTGCAAATAGTCGTTTTTATCTTTTATGCGATGAACGTATTCATCGTGTAAATCAATGGAAGAAAAGGGTCAATAAATTTTGGCGCAAACATCAAAAAGAAGAAAAACAAGGAGAGAACAAGTCTGGCTGAAATAATCAAAATCTGTAAATGATTTTATATTATATGTAATATAATGCATGTTAGACAAGAACGATTAATAATCATTCAATTGCAAATTGTTGGTTTCAACTATAAGCGACATGTTAATTAGAGTATGACTATTTAAATGATTCAAATAATTCATTTATTGAATTTTTCTGAACTCACTAACGAATCGAATTTTAATTATTGATCATTATTGATTGTTTTTAAATAAACCTAGATTGGTTAATCCGTTTCGTCTGAATAAATAATAATTAAAAATAATTTTAAAAAACTATCGGCGATAAAATAGTTTTTAACGAGGAGCTACTTAAAAAACATAAATGAAATAATATGGCGGAAGAATAATATTTTAATGGACATCTCTCAGTGATTAAATGGTATACGAAGTGCATCGCACTGATATCGTGGACAATTTATCGAGAGAGAGAGAGAGAGAGAGAGAGAGACATACAGATAGAGATAAAATATTGAACCAGTAATATAGATGCACAAGTTCAAGTATCCCTTTATGAAATCAGCTGACGGGCAGCAGAAGACGAAAAGACATGGGAATCGAGAAATCGTACGTCTTTTTGCTTAGCGCATTTGGTTCAATTTTCCAATGTACACGGGAAGAAAATTATCGCAAGGTCCTTGCCGCTTTCTGCACTGTATCAGCCCGATTACCACGGTTGATTTTCTAATAACATTTTAATCTCTATTCTATTTCGTGATTATATTACTTTAGCGTTTTCCTTATGCAAAGTTTTTACATTAAATTGTTCACACAAGGTATGATAAAATATCGCTTTGTTCAAGCACACAGTGAGAGCAAATATTAAACAAAGCATTCTCTGGCGATAGATAATTTGTAAAATGTTTACTTAGCTATGGTGCCGAACCGAGAGAAAGAAAATCGGCAACATTATTGCACAAGCGCTTGATTTTAACGATATTTTCTCTTGGGCGTTAAAAATCTAGAATAAAAGGGTTTGACCTTATTCTCTGAGCATGTTTTTCTCTGCAACTGATTATTTAATAACGTTTGCGCTCAATTTTTTCGCCTCCTCTCTTTTTAAATGCCACTGTAAAATAAAAAATATATAGGAGACATGCGCAGTTTTAAGGAGTGGAGCCATCGCGAAAAGCTTGAAATACGAAACGAGTCGTGCCAACAGTGAGTCGAGTTGAGTGAGTGGCTCATTGTTTTCTTTCTCTCTGTATCATATCAATTCAGCGAATAGCCAGAGAAGAAAAATCGAGCAGAACACGCAGACGGGAAAACGTTTCGTCGACTACCGGCTTTTTCATTATTTTAGTAAGCCCTCTGTCTTCTATCCTGGATAAGGTGTGCACGCGCCTGCGTATGCCAGAGAGAAAGAGAGAGAGAGAGAGAGAGAGAGAGAGAGAGAGAGAGAGAGTCGCGTGGAGAAGAAAACGTACGTATGTAAAGTTGAGTCAGGGACGCATCGTAGCAGGAGCGCGAGAAGCACGAGTGAGAGATAACACAGGGAAGCAAATGTGAGGGAACGAGCGAATTGTAAAGAAGAGAGGGCGAGAGATAAAGGTGGTAGATAAAGGTAAGTAGCCAGTTAGGTATGTAGATAGGTGTAGGTAGATAGATAGATAGATAGATAGATAGATAGATAGATAGATAGATAGATAATAGATAGATAGAAGGTAGGTAGGTAGGTAGGTAGGTAGGTAGGTAGGTAGGTAGGTAGGTAGGTAGGTAGGTAGGTAGGTAGGTAGGTAGGTAGGTAGGTAGGTACGTAGGTTGGTACGTAGATAGATAGATAGGTAAGTAGGAAGTAAATAGATAGGTAGGTAGGTACGTAGATAGATAGGTAGGTAAGTAGGAAGTAAATAGATAGGTAGGTAGGTAGGTAGTTGTAGATACAGAGAGAGAGAAAATGATATGTGGGAGGGAATAAAAGAGAGAGGGAGAGAGCAAGGAAGAGGGAGGAAGGAGAAAAAGGTATTATAGCGCGGCGATTGATAAGTTTGGAAACGTATGTGAATGGGTCCTCGGAAACGCCCGGGAACAACAGCATGCCTATAACCTGTTGCGCTCGAGTTGGGAGGTTAGGGTGTCATCGAGGTCGAGCTCGAAACAGCGAAGCAGAGAGACCAATAACGCAATTTTGTTTTGGTGGCACGCATACTCACGTAAATAAGCCCCGAGTAGTAGCGGTCCTTAAGGTTGTGGAGGACAGAGGCCTCGTTTAGGCAGGTGAGCTCGGCCATGTCCTCGGCCTTGTCGAACTTGGGCGGGTTCATCTTTTGTATGTCGTCCTTGGCGACGAGGACGCGCTTGCCGGTTTCGACGATCTCCACTTCCACCTCGTCGCCTCGCTCGCCTTTTATGCTCGCGGCTACAAAGCCCTGCAGCTCCGAAGGCACCCATACCAGTTTCTTCTGCGTCCACTCAGCCTGAGTCGCCGGGTCGTTGAAGCTATTCCGGTCGACCGACAGGATTCGTAGCTCCGGATCCGATCGGTCCACCCTCGAGTCCGCGTCCGCCATCTTAAGAGCCCCCGTGCGCGCGCGCTCGCGTGCGTGCGTGCGGGTGCGGGTGTGAATGCGCGCGTGTATGTGCGCCCAGTCGGCGGCACCTCCTTGCCCTCCTCCTTGTCCCGCAACTCTCTCCGACCAGGCGCTGGCGTGTCAGCCTGCGGAGTTGTCTGTCTCTTTTCCTCTTCTCTTTCCGTACCTGCCTGCTGCCTGCGTACGTACGTGCGTGCGTGCGAGCGTGCGTGCGTCCGTGCGTGCGTGCGTGCAAGCGTGCGTGGTGCGTGCGTTGCTTGCGCGCTTGATCGACTATGAGCGACTGCTAGGCCCTCGGCTCTTCCTCGCGCGGTTGGCGGGCCCAACGAACTTGGGAGCGGTGCTTGCGGCCAGCGGCTGCTGCTCGAGCCTAAGGCACATACGCGCTGGGCTGCGGGACGCCAAGTGCTGCTCTCGGCTGATGCTTGCTCGCTCTCTCCCTAGCAGGGCAATCGCGGCCCGCGGGCGTCGGAGCTGGGGGAGCCGTCGCGTTGCTTCGTGGCCGTAAGATCAGTACCAGCCATTTCGCCGAGAGCCGACTCAGCCGACCCCGGCCGTCGCACTCCTGCCCTGCCCCTGGCCCCGCTCTAATCTACCCCCCACCTCCTTGCCAACTCGCTCACTTAATATCTCTCTCTCTCTCTCTCTCTCTCTTTCTCTATCTTCTTACCTCCCCCCTTACTCTTCTCTCGCTCACTCAATCACTTTCTCTATTTCTTATTGAACAATCAAACTTCTAATTAAAATGACAAGGAAGACGGGGACGAAAACGAGGACGACCACGAAGACGACGACAACGAGGATAACAACGACAAGGATATCAACGACAACGCCGACAGCGACGGTGACGGCGACAAAATACAACACACCAGTTGAATCTTAGATACTTTAGCCTAGTACGTTGACGGCAATCGCGACCCTCGTTCTTTATTCCTCTGGCTCTTCCTCTTATTCACTCAACGCTGCTTTCGCGGCAACCGAATTGACCGAGACTCGAGCCCATTCGCCAATTACAAAAGAAGGCAAACATGGCGTAGCCAACCGTTGATCGCCTATTTTTACCTTCTCGTTTAAGGAGCCACAGAGCGCTTACTTATCGACTGACAAACTCCTCCATCTTTCGCCTATCGCCTGTCATACCTTATCGACCAACTCGCTATTATCAATAATAATACGTACATATAAATATATAGATGCGTATAATTTGCTACTAACTAAATTTCTTCTACATTCCTTTTTAATAAAGAATTTCGTTCTTGGAAGCTCTTACTACCCTTCAGTCGACAAACTTTTGCCCATAATTTCAAATCCCAATATTCGTACATGTTCATTTTACGCGGTCTTCGTTCTCTTCATTTTCTTATACAGAATTATTTATGCATAAAATTTTAATCTTATTGCCGTTATTCCTTTAATCAACTACCGCAGGTGCTTTTATCTTAAAGTAAACAGTACATAAAATAGACTAATAAAATTGTATATTAAAATCATATCAACATTTTTTTTATGTATAATAAAATCTATTTGTGATAATCTACTATTAAAAATATTACAATTATTATTACTATGTATAGCTATTTTTTTTTCGTAAATTTGAAACTTATATAAGATAATAAATTTTATTCGATTTTATTCCAAGATAAAGATATGCAATTTTTTTTAACGTACTATTTATCATTATCATGATTGTTTTTAAATTTAGTCAACATTCATAATTATAATTCGAAAATTCAATAACTCATTTCCAAAAATTGAATTCGTATAAAATATAAAATTGTATTGAAGTGTAAACGCGAATCGTAACGAAGCAAATCTTCCTCGATACTACCGCCTCTATATTATTACTAAACTCCGTAAGTTTTGTCCTTGACGTGTCGATACGCCGCTACTTAAATGTATTTTAAGAAAAAGAATTTGATATGTATATTACTTTTTATGCGTGAGTAGTTGGTAAGAGCTGCTAGAATAAGAGAATTTGTGCAAATTGTTGTATTATTCATTTCGCTGATTGATCGAAGGATCAATAATTAAATATTAAAGTGAAATTACCTAAGGTTAATGCACTAATTACTACAAAACGTAGTAAAAGTGCCTATTTAAATTATAAAAAAATTTGTATTACAAAATTAATTTTGTAAGGATACTCGTGTTAGATTTTTGTTTTTAAAACCTTTGCAAAGCATTACATTTATCAAAGATCTAGGGACAAAATAATTACAATATTTTTTTACCTATTGATCTGAAGTAATTTTTATATCGAGATTCAAGATGACGGGTGTATGATTGTAAGCTTATGAAAGGGAGAGTAAGTTCGAATTATACTTTTGTAACTACGTCAGCGTATATACTTTATATTTCCGTGTTATTAAAAAAGGAAATATTGCTATTCACGATGAATCATGGTAGTCTATAAAATTTAGCAATTTCATTTTTATTTAATAAGAACGTAGATATTTTATGATGTTTGATTTGAACAATTCAAATGTTTGTATTATTGTACTATTTTACAAATAACAATGAAATTTACAGAAATATTTAAATTGTATTTTATATCATGCATCTCTTTTATATTTAGAAAATTGAACATTATTACTTTGTAAATTTAGCATATCATTCATAAGACCAAAAAAAAAAAAAATGATCCTTTAAAATTTGTACCAAAATTTCTGATAATTTTACTTATTATTAATAAAAATTGTCATCTTTACACTTATAAGTTGTGTATTAGTCATTATTAAATAAAAAAATTTTAATGGGAATCATTGAGTTGGTTATCTGTTTATAAAATATTACTTATAATATCAAAAAAATTAAAGTTTATATTGAAAATTATACAACATGTACTTAATAAATATTTACTTTTCCGTATTATTAGAAACTTTTACGTACAAATGCCTTTTTAAAAATTTAAATTGCTTTTGTAATTTATATTATATATATATATATATATATATATATATATATTAATAAAAGAATTTTTTGGATATATTTATTTATTTCAAAGATTTATGCACATTCATAAATTTTAAGCTAATAGTGGGTATTTGAAGGTTTTGGATAGAAAACTTGCGTTTGTAACAAATGATGTTAATTAGTTTATAAAAATCTTGTTAAATTTTTTATTTATGTTTGAATGATACATTATAATGCAAAAACTTCAACTTTTAATGAGTTTTTAACTGTTGAATCCTTAAATAAATTTTAAATTTTAATTAAACCAATTACTAATTATATATGTTAAAAATATATATTATTCTATATACTTTATCAGACACCCCCCCCCCTAAATAATTAAAATTGAATGAAACTTATACTGTTTAAATATTAGTTGTTACTCTATTTCAAGTTATTAAAATGTGGAATGTCGTGTTTGCAAAGAAAAACCTTTTTTTAAGGATCAAATACTGAGTCAAATGTATTTCCCTGGTCATAGAAATTGAAAATGTAAATAAGGAATTTTTATGAATTCAATTTCCAATTTTCAAAAAAAATCAATAATTTTCAATTCTAAAATATTATCTACCATTCATTCATTAATGAAATAAAAATAATCGACTTTTATTTTTTTTTCATACGTTCTACGATTTATCACTTGCCTGATTAATATATTTTCAGTACAGTGTTCACTTCAATTAAGTGTCATTATTACGATGTATCTTTAATTTTGTGATTTCGATTGCCTAATTAAATTATGCAATTTTACATTCTACTAAGTAGTAAACGAATGAATTTCGTAAAATGACCTTTCCTATAAATATAATAGAAATAAATTTTTAATTGTCCCATTTTAGATGTTTTGAATTTTCAATTGGTTATAAAATATTTAATATTTTTCCGGAATTATTTTCATCGTTTTATGTAATACATTTCTTACTCTCTCTCTCTCTCTCTCTCGCTCTTTTTTTAATTACTTGTTTTTTTTTATAAAGCGTTGAACCCGACTATTAATTATTTTAGATAAAAAGCATTGTACATGAGTCTTCTGTTTTATCTATTGGGACAATAACGTTTTTTATTTTGTCAACGAGATATATCATCGATTGAATAAATTGTATTGAATAGCAGTGATTTGTTATCATGTCGTGTACTGAAAAATATGAGCAAGAAGAAAAGGTAAGAACTCTAAGCTATGTCATTTACGATTAAATATTTTTTATATAATTAAAAAAAAATTTTCATCCATTAACGTGTATCACAATTTATCATAATAGATGTTGACAGTTGATTTACGGAGTGATACTATTACAAAACCTTCGACAGCTATGAGGAAAGCAATGTTCGATGCAGAAGTTGGTGATGACGTTTACGGCGAAGACCCAACAGTCACGAGTACGTAAAAGTAAAATAAATTTTATTTCAAGGCTTTTACTTTTTAATCAATCATGACTTTTCAGAACTCGAGATGAAAGCTGCCAGACTCCTCGGCAAGGAGGCAGCTATTTTTGTTGCATCTGGGACAATGGGAAATTTAATCTCTGGTATTACGATATTTAAGATATTTAATTTTAATTATTAAAAATATATCATTGTAAAGATTAAAACGATCAGATAAATAGGTTTATAGAAACGGGATTATATTAAAAGTTTGTACAGGCTGGTCTTCAATTGGACATGAAATCATGCTCATATTTCTTACCATACACTTCTCAAATCATAAAAAAAATACATAAGGAATCGTTTTGATGCTTCCAGTATTAAATCACTGCGAGGTGCGAGGTAGTGAGGCCTACTGTGGCGAGGAATCGCATATCGTACTCCATGAGCAAGGAGGAGCTGCACAAATTGGAGGTGTAACCGTGTGTGCGCTGCCCAATAATCCGGACGGTAGTTTCGAATTGCAACTACTTGAGAAGAAGCTCAGGAGCGATCGACTTCACGA